ATTATCTGGAATGTAATATGAGAAGATGCGCTAGGAAATCTGAGCCAGAGCCTTAATGAAGTCTTGCGACAGGCACTGCTGATACCTCCAGACGAATGTAAAGAGGTATCTAAACAAATCAGGATGCACGTCGTCGGCATTCAAAGAGACCGGCATGGGTATGTCCACCACTCCCCCGAGAGACGGAACATCCATGCACTCATCGTTGGACTGCTTGGTCTGAGGCTCCTCGTCCCAAGAAACAGAAAGCACATTAGTTTCTCGTCTTCCGCTGGCAGCAAACGAATGCGAGCAGAGTTCGTTGGGCCCTTGTAATGTCGAGGCAGGGATCCAACTCCGCCAAACCGAGACTCGCCCACGACTGCGCAGCTGCCTCACACGTGTGAGCATCCATGCCGAAGCGATCAGCAGCAGACTGTTTCAGTCCACGGCAGCCAGACGCCAACCGGCGCCATCGAGCGCATTCCATACCGGCAGTTGTCATGACCATGCGTTGTGCATAGTGAGACTCAGAACTATCAGGTAAAGTGTTGTGCCAACGCAACATGAATATTGTATCGCATGAATATCACGGTTATATCATGATTGTCAGTATCACTGTAAATGTCACAGTTATATCATGGTTGTGGATATCACTATTAATATCAGTGTTATCATCATGATTGTAAGTTTCATTAGGAATTTCACAGGTAGCATTGTCATAGTCGACCCCAAGCCCAGTATCATGTGATGACCATGTGAATCACCAGCATTATCATCTTCATCACCTAGAGCAGCACGGCGACGAGATGCACCTGGAGAAGCAGGCAACTACCACGTTTTTTAGGTGCCCGTTTCCTTATAGGACCCTTACAAAATTACAGAATCCGTACAGGAGGACCCTCATGGGATCCTTAGAGAGCCCTTAAATATCTTAGAGAGAGGGTTTAGGCTTTAGGCTTTAGGGTTTAGGGGTTTAGGGGTTTAGGGGTTTAGGGTTTAGGGTTTAGGCACATGACTGCCGTCCCAGGCGGCTGCAGGCAGATGCGAGTACTGAATGAGTCCGCACGTCCCGTCCTGGGCTTCCAGGACGAACCCTTCTGTACTGTCCATGTTTAGGGTTGACGGCGTATAAGAGGATTTAGAGCCTGGTTCCTCAAGAGCTTAACGGTCTCAGGTTTTGGGGTTCGGCCTCAGGGTTTTAGATTAGGGTTCGGGTTGATGGGCCTTCAGGTTTGAGGGTTTAGGTCTAGTGCTTCTGGGCGTATTAGGGTTCACTGTACGCCACACCGAAGCTCGAAAGCCCCACCTCTTGCAGACGCGGGCGGCTAAGTAGACTCAAGATTGACAGCTTGACACTTGAAGCAATTAGCCAGGCTGCAGACTCAAGCAGTCGAAGCAGAAAGCAAGCTGTAATGACCTCCAAGGCATAAGACCATGCACAGATGAAGCCGAATCTCTGTATTTAGTCAAACCCGAAAGGCTTAAATCGGAGACTTCACCCCAAACAAGTCACACACACACATATATATATA